AGTCAGGCACACTGGCCACTTCCTAACCCTGTGTGGCCCTGGCCTACTTCATAAACCCCTCTGAACCCATTTCCTTCTGTGCAGAACAGGGTGTAAATGCTACCTCACAGGCCATAGGAGCTGAAGGTCTGACAGGTGCACGTCACCTGACACACAGGGCACTCTCAGTGGTTACAACTGCCACCAGGCTCCTGTCACCATCACTGAATCCCTCTTGAAACCAATATTGGTCTCCCCACCCCCAATTCGTATGTTGAGGCCTAGCCCCCAATGCTAGGACGTTTGGACCAGGGCCTTTGGGAGGGGAGTTAGCCATGAGGGTGGAGCCCCAGGAATGGGTCAGTGCCCTTGTAAAAGGGGCCCCAGGCAGCTCCCTCGCCCCTCCCCCCCATGCAAACATGGGGAAAGACAGCCATCTAGGAACCAGGAGTGGGCTCTCACCATACATTGAATCTGCTGGCACCTCGATCTTGGACTTCCAGTCCCCACGACTGTGAAGAATAAAGTCTGTTGTTAAAGCCGCCTGGTCTGTAGCATTTTGTTATAGAAACTGAACTAAGCCGCTGGGCATCCATCCAACCAGGCTTCCACATGTGCCTCTAACTCCTGGTCACTTTTTCTCAGCTCCCACCCTGGAAGTGTGGTATTTCCTTGGGATCTCTCCTTGTCCCTCTTCCTTCCTGAGTATGCATCAGTCACCGAAGAGCTCACTGTCACCTGGATGCCAATGGCTTTCAAGCTTCGGCCTCCTTCCCTGACCACTCCTTGGCATTGGGCAGCTCTCCATGGATGTGCCACCACTCCCACACATCCAGGACCCAGCTGTCACCTTCCCTCCACCACCTGAGCTCTGTGTCCTGATGGATGAGACTCACTCAGCCTCATCATCCGAGTCAGAAGCGTGGCCTTTGCTCTGCACCCCTCTTCTTGGGAGATGCAGAGGACCCTGCCCAGACTCCTACACAGCAGGATTCCTCTCCACCGCTGGGGTGAGTGGGGCAGGAGGTCTCCACCACCCAGTCCCTCGGGGGCTCAGCTACAGAGGCGCTCGCTCAGCTGGAAGGCCAAGCTCCTGGCTCCTAGGGCTGCAAAGTGGATGGGATGGAAGATTAGGGAGGTGCAGGGGGGCAGGGGGGGATGCTCTTCAGGACCACCTCCCCTCTGCCCAGTCCTGTGGCCTTCCCTGCTTTCCATGGAGCATCTGGTGCCTCAAGCTCTATCTCAGCTCTGCCTCCAGAGCAGCGAAACTGCTCCCTTGCCCTCATCCACCCTTGACATGCAGGTCACTGCACCTTCTCACCACACCCTGAGCGCATCTTCTCCTTTCCAGCCCATTGCTCCTGCCCTCCTTCAAGACCCCATCATTATTTACTTGTATGTTATCTGCACCCCTCTCACCTTCCCAGAGCACCCCTCGTTACTGCTAAGGTATCCACATAAAATACAAACCTGACTGCCCTACACCGTCTCAATGCACTTGCACCGTGAGGGAGACACGGGTCATTCCTACCCCCTTCGGGTCCACTGTCTTAATGGCCTGGCCTCCCAACCTTGCTCTGGCCCCACCATCTACACAGGGTTTAGGAAACGCCGAGTCGTGCAGGCCTTGGGATGCCTCCCACAGAGCCTCTCTTCCTGACGCGTCTCTTCACATCTATCTACCTGGAAGATCTCGGAAATCCCTCAAAAATCTGCCTCGGGGTCACCCCTGCTGAGGTCACCCCTGACACCCTCAGGCCAAGCTCAGCGTGCTCCCCTCTGGATGGGGTTTGTATCTCACACTTACTTAAACGTTTTTAAAGCATCCTGAGTTACAACATTCATGTTGGATTTACTGCCTCTCGGGCCAGAACAAAACCTTCTCAGGAGCAAAGCCCCCGCCCCGGGCCCAGCTCATAACGCAAGGGCGGCCTCAGAATCAGGAAAAGTCGAGGAGAAGGATTTCCCCCTAGAAACCCCAGAAGAGCACCCTGCTGCCCACCCTTGACGTGACCCCCGTGTGACCCATCTCCGACTTCTGACCTACAGCTCTGCCAGGTAATTCAGCTGGATCATTTTAAACCACTCATCTTGTGATCACGGCAGCAACAGAAAACCAATATGCTTTTAAATGAATAGATTTAAAAAGAGGAATCACAACATTCTGGAAACCACAAGATCTTGGAAAGGCTACTGTCAATGACCCCAGGCAGTCTTGAGTCTGAAGGCTGGTTTTCTAGCAGTTTCCTTTTTTTCAGTTTCCTTCTGGGTTGCCAGGCTACGAAAAATTTCATCTACCATCCATCTCTACACTGCCACAGCCTGATGGTGCCTAAAATAGGCCGCACCAGCCCTGAGTGAGGGCCCTGGGCCCTGCCTGGGAGGGGCGTGGGCTCTCTCTTGGAGCCCTCCCCCCCATCATCTTCCCGGCAAGTGAGGTGTTAGTATACTAGTGCGTCCCTGGAATACTAATCATCCTCTCTGATTATAGATCTTCTTATATGCAGTAAATGTACATTACTCTTATATTTTGAAACAGTCAATTTCCCTCCACATTGCACATCACAATAAAAGGAATAAAAATCTCCTATTGGCTAAAGGGTTAACTGTACAGCTTTGGATTTTTTTTTTTCTCCTCCTTGGAGACTCAGAACGTGCATGCATGTTCGATGATCCTTTCACAAAAAGAATCAAGGGCGAGATGTCTGGGGTTTGAATGTGCGTTTGCTGTACATTCATAATAAATGCTGAACCGAACGGCACATTCATGGCTGCCTCTTGCTTGTAAATGAACCACTGAATGAAAGTTTTGGGACACAGCTCACCTCCCAGAGAGCAGTCCTGTTCACAACAGTACCTGAACCAACGGTTCTTGAATTTCCTTGAGAAACCAGATTTTCCTCTGTCCATGACAGTGGTGCCTTCCTCCATGCATTTTTTAATCAGGCTGGCTTTTTTTTTTTTTTTCCCACACTGCTGTTGGAATAAAGATCCCGCCTTTGATTGAAATGGAATCTTCCACTATTGAGCAAGCCTTTGTTGAATGAGTCATCGGGGCGGCTGCTCATTGGCTGAGGCCCCTGGAGCCAGGGGATTGCCTGGCACCGGCTGCAGGGCCCGGCTTCATTCACAGAATCGCTGGCTCGCTGCTAGCCTTTCCATTCACACAAACAGCATCTCATTCACATTTTGCTGTTTTTGTCTGCTTCTAATGAAGAGCGGGGTTTGGGAATGATAGGGCGTTTCTGCTTCAGACTTGGGGGGGCTCCGCTAACCACCACACTCGGCGATGGGGTGTGCACTTGCTGTTGCTAAGCGAGCAAGGGGAAGGGCAAGAATGAGTGCCTGCGCCCAGGGAGGGGAGCGGCGGCTGCCCTGCGCTCCTGCACCCCAGCGGCTGGCCTCACCTGCCCACCAGGAGCCGCCCCACCGACACCTGCTCCATAAAGCCCTGCAAGGCTGGGTGCCTCGTGTGGCACATGCCTAGTGGAGGGTTTGAGGAGGCAGGGCGCTAGAGAAGGCAGGTGAATTCATTTGCTCGCACAGAGTTGCCTGGAAATTTGGACAGGGAGGTTCCGCTGTGTCAGGTGGGTTATCTCAATGCATGACAGAGACCGGCAGAGCCCACGGTGACAGGGCTCAGCGGGCTTGAGGCTCGGCCGGCCTTCTGTGGGGCCGCCAACGCCCTGTTCTCCTCGCTGAGAGGAGGGAGGCCTGCGCCTGTCTGTTGCAGCCGATCTGCCTCCCGAAACGGATTTGCTGTGTAACCAGAGCAGCTGTATTTTTTTCTTCCTTACTGCAGGGTTGCAAGGCAGCCACAGAAGACACTCTGAAATGTATCTGTAGCGTTTGGTAGACATTTTTCCAGATCTTGAGCGCATTCAGTTGGGATAAAGCGTCGAGCCCAGCCCCCTTTCTGGAATGGATTTCTGGAGCCGGCTGCCATTCCTCAGAGAAGTCCTCTTCTTTTCTGGAAGTAGGTTTCCAACCTAACCCCGGCTGAGAAGGGCTCTTGTCATTAGCAGGGAAGACATCCTGCTCTGTGCAGAAGTCCCCGTGCAGATTTGTCTTCCTTTTTCTTTCCTTTTCTTTTTTTTTTCCTGGAGGCACTGCATTGCCACAAAGGCACTTGTCATGGCTGCTCTGTTGACTTGAAAAGAAAAACCTAGGAAATCGGTATTTTGTGTTCACCTGGGAGTAAATATTCTTTTCTGTTCTGCTTGTATTTTTTATTTTTTTGGCTGTTTACCAATTTTTGCTGTTTTCCAAATCAGAATTCATGAGGATCCGCTGAAGATCTTATTCTTAAAAAGGCTTCGTCACATTTTAACGCATGGCTGTCAGATCCTTAGGGACTCACACGGAGGGCTGAAGGGGGGTGGGGGGAGGAGGAAGCCCCCCGGCACCGAAGAAGGGACTTCAGAAAGTTCCCCTGACAGGCTGAAGAGGCTGCACTGACCTCCGGCACAGACGCTGAGTCGGGGTGGGGGCGGGGGGGGGGGG